ACAATGAATCAGCGAGTGCTGGTATGTGCCAGATACTTGCTCTCCCCAGCGAACTACCAGAGTGTCACCTACACCATGCTTTATCACCTTATCTTCACTCTCATTCCAGGAACGTGACATCACGTTGCAACGAGCGTGACAACATGTCACGTTCGTTTGAGCATTGTGTCACGTACGTTTGGGTGTGAATTCGCCAAAAATCAGCTTGTTCACATTCAAACGAACGTGACACAATGCTCAAACGAACGTGACACAATGCTCAAACGAACGTGACATGTTGTCACGTTCGTTTGATGTCACGTTCCTGGATAAAGAGTGTTGTTCTTGTGTTCAGATGTATCAAGGTTATCCAGGATATCCAGGTTATTCAGGATATCCTGTTCCTATGACGCTGGCGTGGGCTGTCAAACCTCATCCTTATCTGATGATGCGCCCTACATCCCACCCATGTTTCTTCCGCATTCAATGGGCGCATAGGGCGCACCTGCCCCACAAGTAGTGGCTCATCCACTGCATCAGAGCCCGTTACTCATTAGCGGCATGCGCAGTAGAGTTGTTGTGACTGAGGTGAGTACCTAACACTTATCATCACCATGTCAGGTAAACACTTTCTATTTCTGAAGTATGAATGTCATACCCAGGTAGAACAGTCAGAAGGTGATCAAGAAATACCGACTCGCACTACAGCACCTCTAGAATCAGCCACAAGCATTGCAACTGCCCTAGAAACAACAGCGACCAGCCCTGCCCCCACTGCCTTGGTATCTACTGCACATGGTGTATGGTCATGGTGTACACAACCTTGTCAGCAGGGACGGCCTGAAGAGAGATGAAACCGTCAGCGCCCCAGTCGCAAAGGCACGACAAGCCGACAGGCGCGCAAGGCTGTTCCGTTTATCGCGCCCCTCAAGTGGAACGGGTAAGCAAGGAGGAGTATCAGGAGGCCTGGCTGAACAGCGTCCGGGGAGCCGAAGATCAGGCGGATGACGCCGACCCAATCCCTGATGCTGATGAGCACGGCTCGGAAGAGGGCCCGTTGCGCACCCTAGTTAGAGAGTACTCGTGAGTACACGCTGAAGAGAAAGAACTCATGAGCAAAGTAGGAACTGAGTACACGGTTCAGTTAGCACAGCAGGCATAACGCAAACGTAACATTTGGTCTTCCCGTGTGTTCCAGCTCTTGAAACAGAATGTTCCATCTGCCAAGAGGCATGGAGCAGGGCGTTCTTTAGACGAACCCTTGAATGTGGCCACACATTCTGCTTTAGATGCATCGACATGCATCGGCGTACTCAACGTCGCCGCGGAGTCTTCCAATTGCCCGCTGTGTCGGCAAGACGTCCGACAGCCCATTAAGAAAAGGCCGAACAATCCCCAGTAGCCTCATTTAAGCAGCTTTTTAAAACTTAAAAAAAATATCCTTTTTTAGCAAATACACAAGTGACTATCTTTGTGAGGAACATTTTGCGAATTACAATAGTCTCCTCTATGTCTTTGGACATTTTCTGTTCATGCAATTAAATGTATGTATCACGTAAATTGGAGATGACTGCCTTTGTGTGAAACCTCTAAAAGTTCAACTTCCCATTTGTTGTTAAATCATTTGAGTGTGATGATCAGGGTCTGACATATCTGTTTAACTCTTGTAATAATAAGCCACTACCACTTTTCTTGTTTATCGCCCTTGCAATATGTCATAAAACTAGAGGTGTTAATAGTAATAGATCAAAATGATTCTCCTTGTCTGCAAAGGAAACCTTTCTTGCTCTTCTTTCACAAACTTTAAGCTGATCAACTCAAAACATACGAGAAAAAAAGAGGATTTTACAAAACATGTATGGACATTTTTTTAATATCTTAAAAAGTTTTAGGGCTACAACCACTCGTTAATAAAACAACACTGTGAAGACACTCAGAATTCTGGCAAATATAGATTTATTTGAAGGAAGTGTGCCAGAGCCTGCAGGCCAGCCCCAGGCCTTGAATTTTTGCCAGACGAAGGGAGGAGAAGTAAGCAGTTCACACACTGCTCCGAAACGTTTTTGAAATCACAAGGTGAACGGTTGCACCGCGGCGCACGGCCAGGTCACGCGACACTTAAATTCAAAACGAAACACAAAGAAAACCCTAACATCCGAACCCAGTCTAGCAGACGGCCAAGGACTATCGGCCCTCCAGGAGCACTATCTGCACCCGAGCCGCGTCAGCCAATGACAGGCCAGGTCTCCAAGACTGCCAACCCCGCCGCGCAAAGCGCACGATTCGAAGCGGCCTCCGCAGAACGGCCGTGCTGTCAACAAGCAGACGACGAGCCGAAAGTGAAAGAGCAACTCCAAACAAAAAAATTAAAAAAATATCACTTGGCCGGTGATTTCCTCAGATCTGGCTCCCTCCCGTTTTTGGGTTGCCAAACGGTCACCGTGTGGGGCGGTGATTCTGTCGGGACGAAAGACTGGCGGTGGTACACCAATTACTGTTTGCTGAGGGGGTCATAGAGGCGCACCTGGAGTGGCCATTTCCCGGGGGACAGGGTGCCCGCCTGCAACCTCCAGAAAGTGACGTCACTTTGGAGGAGGCTGTAGGTGTGGGATCCGTGCCTTGCACGCTGATGGTCGTACTGGTGGAAGTCTTTTACACACCAGAACACTGCTTCCTATTTCTCGCTTCGCCTGTGAGTTGTCTGAAAGTTCCCTTTGTTTTCAGAAATACCTTCTGATATTGAGAGCGACACTGATCACTCTGGTAATGAAGCCGACCCCACCTTCACCCCTGTCCAATCTAGCGGCACATTTGAAGAAAATCTGGACCGGGCTGCGGTGTCTGAGCGCGACGCACAGTGGGCCACGAAGCCGGTTTGGGCGGACAAAATTCTCTCAGGCCATACCAATGGTGATTTAAGCGTGTAACTTCGTAGTCGGGGTTTGGAGGGGCGGGGAATCCGATTTTGACAATACGTAGTGCAAAATTGGACATTATCTGATGCATAGGGGCGTGTTACGCCAAGACATGGTCTGACACCTTTTCTACGTTTTCATGGGGGGGGGGGAGATGTTGTACGATGCGAGGGCGGCCACCTATCGGACGTGTACGCCGGACTGGGGAAGGACGTCAACATCATCGCAACCGATGGCTTCAGGGCGCCCCCGTCGGAAGAGGACCCGGCCGAAGTGGGCGCGGCCCTCTATGAGGCGGTGTCCTTCCGCACCGAAGTGTTCAAACTGCCACACTGCAAAAAATCAGTGTCTGATACGGATCATGCTACGGCGTTCCGTATACCCCCTGAAATGGTGATACGGACATCTGCCGTACTACTCCTCCCATAAGAGCCTGTGCTTTGTAAAGCGTACTACGGAAATTTAACGGAAAATGTACCGCTAATTTTACACCGGAGGTTGCCGTTTCAGTTTTCCGTTTGTGAATAAGTCCAAAATGCTCTACGGACAGTAAGGAACGGTCGCTCCGTAACGCAAAGTTCTCTGACGAAACGCATGAAACGGTCACTCCGTAGGGATACGGACTGGCCGTTACACGTTGTCCGTTATAGAAATTGGAGTTACGGAGTGTCTGTTCCTCACTGTCCGTAGAGCATTTTGGACTTATTCACAAACGGAAAACTGAAACGGCAACCTCCGGTGTAAAATTAGCGGTACATTTTCCGTTAAATTTCCGTAGTACGCTTTACAAAGCACAGGCTCTTATGGGAGGAGTAGTACGGCAGATGTCCGTATCACCATTTCAGGGGGCATACGGAACGCCGTAGCATGATCCGTATCAGACACTGATTTTTTGTAGTGCAGCCGACGCCACGGTGTACACCGCGGAGGTGTTTGCAGACGCCAAGGCTACCGTTCCTTCGTGGTGCCAACAGACAGCCTCTACACGATCGCAGCTCTCAACAACCCCCACCCCTCCGCTGCCACCCCCGAAGAGCTGGTCGTCGTATCTACGGCGAGCGAAGGTCCAAGTGACCATCGCGTGGGTACCCGCTCTCAAAGGAGTCCTCCCGAACGAGGCCGCGGATGCTGCCGCAAACCTGGCACGCAGCGAAGGGGAGCCCACCGTCATCAACCTCTCCCCCCTCGCTTCATAGCAAGTTTCTTTAGACCCAATTTAGACCTTTCCAAATTTTGTCAAGCGTTTTTGCTTGTAGGTTGGTGGAATCGGGTTGTCGTCTGCTGAAGTAAATATAAACAATAAACAAAACATACTGTCTGCTATTTTTTTTACTAAATTTTGTAAACATTGCCTGCTTGTTTGCAAACAAACTTTGGTAAATATGGTCTGCATGTTTGTATACAAGCTTTTGTAAACATCTCCATGTTTGTAAACTCTCCTTTAAGTATTTTTTGAGCCAAGATTTTGAGGTGTTTACTTGGATGGATAAGAGTTTATGTCCTTAATTCTTTGAAAAGGGATTGGGAAAACAATGTTCATATATTCTTTTATGATAACATTCTTTTATTAATTAAACGGCTGTTTGAGACACATCTTGTAAAGTTATTAGCCGCGACAGGCACACAAAAGTGCGGAGCCTTCTGCCACCAGGGGAAGACTGCAGCTATGGCATGAACACTCTAAATTGAAAGTTGTCTTCTTGCAGTGCTCGCAGCGACACTTTCTTCAGTCAAAGATTAGTGTCCTAGCGATCCAATAGACTATTCTAGTCGTGGCTGAGTGAAGAACAAGAAGAATCTCAAAAGTGTACTTTTTCGCACTTTTACTTCAAATGTTTAAGTCCCCTTGTTTGGTAGAAGTTAATTCAAATATTTTATAGTAAATGCAACATATTTCATCAAATATATTAACTTTAAATGCCCTAAATGGCGTCTTTTGTGATTCTTCTTGTTCTTCACTCAGCCACGACTAGAATAGTCTATTTGCGTCTATCTAAATGGTGCTTCTTCCTGGCAATTGTGAGTGCATGTACATAAATGCAAGTACATAAAAGTATCATATGTGATCATGAACACACAACTACATGTTGCATGTATGCACTCAGAGGCATGCACTCGCCAAGAAAGCACTTGTAACGGTCTACCTGCGAGCATGCACTCAAGTGACCCAGGCACATTCAACTGATCATAATCAGCAGGGCAAAATGGATGGGGTCTGGAACGACATGATCATTCAATTATGTGTCCATTCCCATGTCAAAAGAGTTGTTGTTGTTTTCGCTGTTATCAACATTATACATTCCTTCATTTGTGTGGGATTCCATTAAGCCTGGATAAATAAAAAGATAAATTAATTTTTGAGTGCATAAAAGAAATGGCAATTCGTATTTCTTAGAACCTACCTCAATTACAGGCATGTTCAGCGCCAGAATTGCCTTTAAATACAGAAATGTTGTCTTGACCAGAAGATTCAGAAGAAGAGCCTAGACATACAAGAAAAGATTACTTAAAAAGTCTACCACAGCCCATTTCTCTTTGTTGCTCTGAGAAAACAAAAGGAAAACCTACAGGAATAATTGTTTCCTCTGGCCTCAAATTCAGTGCAGGTCTTGTAATGTTCACTCATGCTTGGAACAGCATCGGTTTTATTGAAAAAAGAGCACTTTTGGAGGAGTCGGCTTTGGTCGGACTGAGCCCTAGCCAACAGATTGCGTACTGCGAGTTCGCCCTGGGCCACCAGGACATGCAACCGGCATGTGTTTCGGAAAACATTGGTTAACCGCCGTCTTGCACCCTTTGGAAACCCTTTGGAAAACCATCCAAGGTATCAGAGCATATTCTGTGCTATAGAAGCCATGTAAGAACCTAATAAATGAAAGAAACCATAGAGAAGTCTTGTTAAAGAATTAGTAAGTGTCTTACTCTGAATATTCTAGGCTTTTGCAGACAGATTACATACTTTTGCACATTGATAGAACATCTTTTATGACATACAAGGTAGGTGTACGCCAGACCGTGTCTTGTCGTAACAGGCTTCGCGATGCTGCGCCAGTTTCGACAATCCACGCCTGGCGTATACACCTACCTTGGCCAGCGGCGCTAACCTGCCTTCGGCAGGCTGCCTTCCTAGGTCGACCGTAGAAATGGGCGTGATCCCCTCAAAAATAGCATTTGGTCATCTACATCTACCAATGGGACTTTACTTTCTGTCGGAGGTCAGAATGGGTTCTATTTTCGTCATCAGCAGCCTCAAAAACTCATCAAACGACATGAAACTTGACAAAATGTTGAAAGTACCTAAAAAGGTGTCTTTTTTCTGCCGTTTTTTAAGTGTTTTTTTTGGCTTATATGACCGAGTGGATCGAGATAGAAAGCTGAATTTTGGTGTGTGGCGAGCCAAGGACATACCTAATGACCCTGCAAAATCTCAGGCAGATCGGCCGAGCCGTTCAGGAGGAGTAGTGCACACACACTCACACACACGCACGCACGCAGACAAACAAACTGACAGACAGACAAAACTTTTCAGCCGCACTCGTGTAACGGGCTTCCCTATCGCTCAGCCAATCAGCTGCACTCAATTGAAGCAGTAAATAAAACCATCTGGAGCACCACTGGCGTATGCTATTTCACGATAAGTTCCATCAAAAGTGGCACTTGCTACATGTCAAACTGTAATATATGAAATGAAGCAAATAAATGACAATTGCAGTACGCTTACCCAGCTGTGAAAAGGATGGCAACACATCCAGCCATAACTTGTGTACTGAAATTTTGATCAGAACAGTATCTTGACAAGTATCGTTTAATTGGCTGAGCGATAGCGAAGCCTGTTACTCCAGTGCGGTTGAAAAGTTTTTTCTGTCTGTCTGTGTGTGTGCCTGTGTGTGTACACTACTCTTCCTGAACGGCTCGGCCGATCTGGCTGAGATTTTGCAGGCTTATTGGGTATGTTCTTGGCTCGGCACACGCGAAATTTCACTATCCTAGCTCACGTGGTTCAGTTTTTATAGCCGAAAAACACCTAAAAAACGGCGAAAAATCGAGTTTTCTGCTGGCAGATCACTTCTGTCTTGAAGGAAGGGGGGTCTGGGGGGCGGAACCCCCCAGCCTCGCCAAATTTAAAAGTGACAAGGGTCAAGATCGTGTTATCTATAGATGAGGCAACTCTATCTAGAATGAAAGGGGGTCTGGGGGGCGGAGCCCCCCCAGCATGCAACAAGTAAGAAGTAACCGACGATTGACTAGCCATTGCCTGCCGAAGGCAGGCTAGCGCCGCAGGCCAAGGTAGGTACGCCAGGCGCGGATTGGAGGAACAGGCCGCGAGATATCGCGAAGCCTGATACGACAAGACGCGGTCTGGCGTAAACCTACCTTGTTTATCAACCAACAAACCGGCTGTAGGAACATAATCTTGATGCCAGCACACAAGTTATGCTTAAAACGATTAATGCTATACGGGCTTGAACAGAGTAATGTCACATTATTATCCAAGTATACACTGTTAAAAAATGGTTGTATGGAAACAATCAGATAAGTGAAAATTTAGTCGTTCCAAAACAAAGAATTATATCATGAACCAAAGTGAAAGAAATGTCATTGAATCTTGTAAGCGACAATTTGTCGTTGAAGAACAAAATTCTTGTTATCACCCTTAGCGATACTATTTGTGTGGAAACAAAATCTTTTGCAATTATCTGCTCAATTTAAGCATATTATGAATAATCATCTATTGGTCTTCTTTAGTCATAGCAACATTACTATTATTTATAGAAGAATTAGGCAAAATAAATTTAGCGACAAAAGTACTCCATGAATACTTGTCCCAGACATTACAAAATCTTTTTCGACTTACAAGACTTGTCGTTGACCAACAATATTTGTTGTTGGTCAACGACTTGTATTTGAAAGTAGACTGCTAATGTGTTATTACAAGTTAGTCGTTGTGAAATTATCCTTTAGTTCCAGTATGAGTTTGGTTTAACAAGCTATTCGTTCCACAACAAATACTGTCGCTAAAAAAATTGGAGATAAATGTGTCGCTAAGTTACGACAAAATTTTTGTCAGTGTAGACACAGCTCACGGATGCATCAAATTGAATGTTATATTGAACAGATTATCCAGATTGGTGAATCGCCTCTTGAAATTACAACTTGTGAACTGTGTATACCTCATTACAAGGTAGGTTTACGCCAGACCGCGTCTTGTCGTAACAGGCTTCGCGATGTCTCGCTGCCTGTTCCTCCAATCCACGCCTGGCGTACCTACCTTGGCCTGCGGCGCTAGCCTGCCTGCGGCAGGCAATGGCTTCTCCGTTGTCGCTTATTTTTTAACTTCTTGAGTGCTGGGGGGCTCCGCCCCCCAGACCCCCCTACATTCTAAATAGAGCTGTTTTATCTACAGATAACACTATCTTGACCCTTGTCACTTTTTAACTTGTCGTAGCTGGGGGGCTACGCCCCCCAGACCCCCCTTTCTCCAAGACAGAAATGGTCTATTTGCAGAAATCTCTGTTTTTCGCCGTTTTTTAGGTGTTTTTCACCTATAAAAACTGAACCAGTTGAGCTAGGATGGTGAAATTTCGCGTGTGCCGAGCCAAGGACATACCCAAGAAGTGTGCAAAATCTCACCGAGATCGGCCGAGCCGTTCAGGAGGAGTAGTGCGGACACACAGACACACAGACAGACAGACAGACAGACAAAACTTTTCAACCCCACTGGAGTAACAGGCTTCGCTATCGCTCAGCCAACAACATGAATAACAGTGGAATGAAAAGAGTGAACAAATAATATTGACTTATACATACCGGTTTTCATCCGTGTGAGGGGATCATTTGAAGCTGGCTTCGTCGTTTGTGTTTGTGCTACACATTCCACATTTTTCACATTTGACAATGCTGCTGCCTGATGCCCGTGTAAAGTATCTCTTTCCATTTCTTTTCTTCGGTACCCAGGATTCCTCTCTAGCCTCATCCTCAGATCCTCTACGCTTTGAGTGCATCGCTCTGAAACCTAAATAGGGAAACAAAGAAGCCATAACACATGTTACACACAACCTATATGAATGCGGCAGACTCCATTCTATCCTTTTCCATTCAACTTCAAGCCTAGATTCGCTAACTCTTACTATAAAAGAGTTAACCTTGTGAGAAAGCATGCTTTCAACAGATAAGCTATGATTGATAATGAAGGAAACATGTGAACATGTTAATAGATACTCGAACACATAGGGTTATTAATATTAAATAAAATGCAATTTGAGACGAACGATACGTTAATGACATTACAGCAAATATCTAACAAAAATTACAGAAAATGTACGTACGTTCCGTTTCGTAGCACCGTGGACAAGGTGGATTTGAACTGGAGTGGAGTGGAGTGCAGGGTAGAAAACACGACATTTTAAAATTTTAATCCGTACTTCGTTAATAACCCAAGAACTTTCCTCAAACATGTTAAAATAATTTTTAAAGTAATTTATTTCTATTTTTAAGCTTTATTTCGCTTTAATTTAAAATAATATATATTTGCGAGGGCTTTTAGTGTTCTAGAGTTGCCATCCCTGCTCCTCCAGTTCTGAAACCCCCCAAGCGCCCACCTCCTTTCCCCCACCCTGGGAGTTACCACGCACTGGCCACCGTAGCAGGAGCCTATCCGTGATGTAATCCATCCGGATATCCACCGGCCATTCCGCTGCCTCGGTGAGGATGGAAAGTTAAAACTTTTGTTCGATTAATCGATAACCTTTAATCGAAACGGCAGGTTTCGATCACAGTCGAACAAACTCATTTTTCAGACAGTTAATCGATTAATTTCGACTAATTGTTTGAAAACGACCTTTCGTCTTTCAAAAGAGAGAATCGCACAAATAACTTGGAAAACAATGATTTTTCGAAGGCAATCTCTTCAGGACGTCAAAGTGCGAGTGGCTGAGGTGATAGTATAGTGTAGAAGTAGCCGGGCGGACGAACAGCTTCTTGCACTTTTTGCATGTCACCTCCTTTGTTGATTTGTCTTTCACAAAATGTTCCCACACGGGGCTGATCGCCATGCTGCCCAATTTCACTGCAAGCCTCAACACACAGCTAAGACGCAATCAAGAACCTTACCGAATGAATGACTGAACTAGACCGGCTGACTGGACACACCACACTAACACACACGCAGCACGAGCATGTAGCAGCACGCAGAGCAGGGAAGGGGGGAGGGGAGGGAGACGAAGCTGGTCCCCCACCATCGTCGCCGCTCCTCCTCTCCTCCCCCTTCTCGCCCTTGCCCCGCACTCGCTCGCTCAAACTCGAACTGCAGGCAGGACAGGAGTCAGTATTCCTGCGCAGCTCCATGCGTTTACATCATTTTCTTGAAAGGGTGAATTTTCGATTAACCGCGTCATTTGTTCGATGAACTGAGTTGATCGCTGTTCCTCGATCGGTGACGATTAATCGTTAATCGAAACGGATTGTTCGAACAATCGATTAATCGATCATCTGTTCTTCCAACCCTATGGGATGGGGTGGATGGCATTGCGCCGATGCATGTCCGTATGACCGCATTGCAGACGACTTGAAGCGACTGGATGCTCTTCTTGGTGGTAATTTCGAACATGCCGGCGCCGTACTCTAGGACCGATCGGGAGATGGACTT